GGATGGTCCTATGAAGTATACCTCACATTGTATCACTTCTGCTTAAAATGACTTGGTTTCTCCACTACCAAGTCTTTAAATCTACCAGTTTCCTTACTAGCTTCTCTGTTCCTTGAATCACTAAGAAATGACCTATTGTTATTCTTAGACTAAACTCTAAGTATCTCTCAGATCTATACTCCATGGACCTTACCCTTCTTTCCATCTGAATCCTGTGCAAGGATCCCCTCTGCTCTCCTCGCTTCAGATACTGGCCTTCCTTCACTGCTTGGGATTCACCAGTCACCAGGCACTTCATGCCCTCTGCATGTCCTCTTTCCTTCACCCACAAGGCTTATCTTCCATCTTTGCTTGTCTGGAATCTCTCACCCTTATCCTCTCAGTTTAAATGTCATTTTCTTCATTAAAGACTCCCAACCAATCAATGTCCTGTTATCGTCTCTCCTGACTCCCTACGTAGCACTTTTCACAACTTACAATTACATAGTCACACTTGATTGGTGACTGTCTCTGTTAGAATGTAACTTTTATGAAGGTAGGGTCTGGTTTTGTATCCCAATACAATAGCAACCTACATCCAGTGCTTATGGCAATGTCTGACACAGAATAGTTGCCTAATAAATATTCTTTAAAACAAATGCATGAATGAAAGAAGAAAGCGAGGAAGCAAGCTAGTCTTCCATGAAGCTGTTTCATATAACGTCTCTGTAAAAAGGAACAGGGAGGAGATAAGGGGATGTATGTATACGTATAGCTGATTCACTTTGTTACACAGCAGCAACTAACACACCATAAAACAATTATAGTCCTATAAAGACGTTAAAAAATAAATAAAAATAAAGTGTTTTGGTAAAAAAAAAAAAAGGAACAGGAACAGGTGTTTTAAGCAAACTTATAATTCATGAAAATCTAAATTTACATAAAGAGTATGTTGAAAGGTGATTTTTCCACTTTACAGAAAGCTCCATCATAAGATTCTTTAAACAGGCTTTCCAGGTACATGGAAAGTACGACTTCATTGATTAAAACCATATGTTTGCACAGAATTCTTCAGGAAAATATCTTTTATATAAAGCAAGGTTGACCTAGAAGCAATTTCCTTAAGGCATCTAGCCCAGAATGGCCAACTCTCAAATTTCCTAGGTAATAGGTAATGGGAGGCCTGGAATGCAGTGGATATTCGAAACCCTAGAATGCAAAGCAGTAATTTCAGCCATTTAAGTCTGCATGACTTTTCTCACAAAAATAGCTAATGGGGAGAGGAATCAATGTATTTGAATCTCCCCAGCTCCTCTCTTTGTATGTCAGTGAAGGTAAGAATGGCTGTGAAATGACCCCCAGAGAGGCTGCCATGAAAGGAGAACACAGGCTTGTAAAATTCACTAGATTGATGCTTTTCTCCCAACTCCCCCCACCACCACTACCACCACTACCACCACTGATAATTAAGTTGTCTCATTGCAAAACTGGAAAAAGAATTCAGTGTTTTAATAAATAAAAGGCAGTTAACTTCTCTGAGTTTCAATTTCCTCATCTCAACAATGTGGGAGCCCTTTTGAAGATTATTGTCTTATAATTCTGTTCTTGAACCTACCCAAACTTTACAAAATAAGGTAATTGGTGGCTGCTCTCTGTCTAATGAAATAAATTTCACAGCTATTTCTGCCCTTCTTACTGGAAACTTTAATAAATGATCATTAACTTTAAATCAAAACATAATATTTATAGAATTGGTTGAATGGACTATTATTGATGGTTCCTGCTTAGAAGAAAATGCTTGGCAGAATTTACTTACAACTAACCTTTTCTTTATCAAACATATCCCACTCTAATGGAAGAATAGTAAGCTGTTCTCAAACTGCAGTACAAGTGAAATATTTTAGCTGCAGGAAGGAAAAAACAATACGTTGGTTGTGGTCATAAAGATCAAGGTCGACTAGGGTATAGGTTAGTTTTACCCTTCAAAAATCAGACTGCTTTCATTCAGAAAATCTAAAACCTCCAAATTTACAAGAAAATATTTGAGACATGGGGAAAAAACAAGCCTAAAATCTGGAGAGATCATGGCAACAATTTTGCCTTCATCTGCTTCCTGAGGCATTATTTTACCCTCACTCCCCACAATTCTGATTTTTCTTTGTTTCAGTATTATTATATTTAGTGACATTTTGAGGGAAAATTACTTTTCTAAGTTGTGTACTAAAGTATTCTCACATAAAGGAATTTATAGTAATAACGTTGATCCCTAGGACTCTTCTGCGTGGGTCTGAAAAGTTAAAGAATGTATTCATGGAAACACATTATTTAGATATCTCCTGCTTTGTAGGTTAAAGCGAGATCTTGAATATATTAACAAATCTGAATTATTTGAAAGTTAGTGTTCTCATATTTTGTCTGTATTTTTCTCTCTTTCCTATTTACTTCTATGAATGGGATCAGTTCATTTCTTCAGTGAGAAAAAGGAATAGATTCAGAAAAGGAGGCAGGAAAAAGGAAGAAAACAAACAAACAAAAAGAAAGGCTGGGGATGATGGAGTTAAAGCTGATGGTTGATTAACTGAGATCGCCAAACTAGACTGGATACAGCAAAAGGACTGAAGTAGGTGCAGAGGCAGGTGGAGAGATGGCAATGGGGAGAGAGGAAGTTCATGAAAGAGACTTTGCTAATTGAAATTATAGTGGAAAAATATGCAGAAGAGTCAAGGCTGGGAGAGGCTTCTGAGGAAAGCAGGATGCACTCTGTACTAGGCTAACACCAAGACTATGGATGTTAGCAGCACCATCTTCCACGTGTGATACTCAGAGCTGCCACTTGACCAATAATCTCCACTTTGGGTTGAAATGCAATCCAGAAAGAGACAAATATGTACCCATTTTTATGAAATTCTGATGAAGATGGGAATTTCTTACAAGTTTATAATTCAGGTCCTCGTGTGAGGAGATTCTGAGTCACTGTGTGTTGGGAGGCTAGGGGAGAGGGATGGGAACAGGGGAAGGGGGCAGTCAACAGCACCTGTGTAATTTGAAAAATGTCCTCAGGTTGGATAGATGGAAGGATGGATGGATACATAGATACATACAAAGAATCATAGATAGAATGAGTAAGCTAAAGGTATAAACACACACGCACACTTAGTTAAATTTGTAGCTATCTAATAAGAAACAAGGGACACATGGGATTTCCTTAGATTTAAGAAGAGTCTTTACCTTAACTGAAGACTATGCATGATTGAGTGACTTTTATCCCTAGTTATCAGCAGAGCATCAGTCATTTTATTTTTTCATGTATGTTAATACCAAGACTATGGGAGATTGCTTCCAAAGAAAATATCTATTGGTAAAATGCCTATCATTTAAGAATATGTTCTACCAATAATTAATTGCTGCTTTTTTTTTTTTCATTTCAAATGTGCAGTTTCATTTTCCCAAAAGTGCTAAGGAAACACAATGTTCTTTTAAAGTATCATAATTGCAGGGAACCCTAGTGTACTATTGTTTGGAATGCAAATTGGTACAGCCACTATGGAAAAAAATGTGGAGGTTCCTCAAAAAACTAAAGCTAGAACTATCATATAATCCAGCAATCCCACTTTTAGGTGTATATCCCACGGAGTTGAAATTAGGATCTCGCAGAAATATCTGTACTTCTAAGTTCATTGCAACATTATTCATGATAGCCAAGATATGGAAACAATCTAAGTGTCCATCAAGATGAATGGATAAAGAAGATGTGGTATATGTACACAATGGAATATTATTCAGCCATGACAAAGAAGGAAATTGTGCCATTTGTGACAACTGGATGAATCTTGACGGCATTATGCTAAGTGAAATAAGTCAGACAGAAAGACAAATAACTGTACGATGTCACTTCTATGTGGAATCTAAAAAAGACAAACTCAGAGAAATAAGTAAAGTGGTGGTTATCAGGGGTTGGGAGGTAGGGAAATGGGAAATGTTGGTCAAAGGGTACAGACTTCCAGGTATAATAGTAATAAGTTTGGGAATCTAATGTACAGCATGATGCTTATAGCTAATAACACTGTATCATGCACTTGAATGTTGCTTAGAGTTGATCTTAAATGTTCTCACCACAAAAAAAGAAATGATAACTTCATGGCAGGATGGAGGTGGTAGCTAATACTATGGTGGTGATTCTTTTCTAATTTATAAATGTATCAAATCAATACATTCTACACCTTAAATTGACACGGTGTTCATGTGCCAATTATACCTCATTAAAGCTGGAGGAAAAAAATAAAATCACCACTGTGCCCAGTTAACCACACTTATGCCAAGCACCGGGGAGGGCTTTTAGCACACTGACCTTGGGCTGATTTGGGAAGCCTGCAGCTACATGGGAGAGTGCATATGGCCTGAAGGAAAATGTGCAATGTAGGAGGTGACCCATGTTCTAATCCCAGTCCTGCCCTGAACTTGTTGGGTGGTCTTGGTCAAGGCCCAGGGGCTCTCAGAGCTTTTGATTCTTCATTTTAAGATGAGAATGTTGAACTAGGTGTTCGGTAAAGTCCCTTGCAGCACTCGCACTATGTAATCCCATGAGTTTAATCTTCAATGTCAATGCCACCTGGAGCTCTGGAGGCCTATTTAGGAGGTCGGTCAGTGTTTAGCTATATGGGAACAACAACCTTTCAGTTCTTTAATCTCTACTGAATTAATGGTTTGAAATTTTTAGTCTTTAATCACATGATTTTGTGCAGACTGCACAGTCAATAGAAGGAAGGAAGGAAGGAAGAGAGGAAAAGGAGGGGACTTAAGTAACTGTATTATTTTTCTGATCTCAGCATCTTATTTTAATTCCATTTTATGTGAAATGATCTTGTATTGCTTATAATAAAGGATTCCATTTTATGTGAAATGATCTTATATTGCTTAGAATAAAGAATTTAATGAATTCATCTCATAAATATCTTCAACTAACCATAACCACGAAAAGAGCATAATTATCATTAACAATCATCTTCTCCATGTTTCACTAGATTTGGAAAGAAGAAAGATGATAAGGGTGGAAAGGCTGAGCAGAAAGGTCCTCTGAAGCATGGTGGCCTGAGAGAAGAGGAGCTGGAAAAAATGAAAGAAGAACGTGAGAGGTGAGTAGAAATGCTGGGCCTCTTATTTTATTTTCATGCGTGGTCTGTGTTAACTTGGTTATATCATCAGTCAACTGGAGAAATCTTATTTTAAGAAGCATAAAGGTTGACTGATACAAAAGGAGAGATACCTGATATAAATGGAATCTGCTTTTTAGGGAATTTTTATTATATTTTGAGAAGAAATTAACTTCATGTTTTTATTATATTGGTACTTATAATTCCATGATGTGCTACCCCCAGTTTTGACTATATCAATGCACATGTTCTCTATGGTTTAAATAAGGAGTTTTTTGTTTTCCGGGTTTTTTTTTAATAAAAAGGTCATCTGGATATTGATGTTTAGAGCTATCAAATTTCCATAGTCTGTTCCTAATTTTTGTCAAGCTGTTGTATACCTTCTTAATTTTATTCTGCTAAGCCCATTTGGGTACTGTAATTTGAGAAGTACATGCCCTTCATTTTTAAAAAGCCAGTGCCTTTTATTAGGCCATCAGCAAGTTGCAAAGTGTGTTGCCCATCTGTTAAAGGGCCGGTTTCATTTACTGAAATAATGACAGTTTGCAAGGGCTGAATTCTTCTATTTGAGGAGCTTAATGTTCCATTAGGACAAGAGGTCCTTCACATATCTTTGATGTTAACTCTGGCATTTATCCCAAGTAGATGTATAAATGTCTGATTTTGAAACATGTAAGTGAATATTCATATTTCTCCTGACAATTCTTTGCCTTCACAACCAAATGAAGCCTGGAGAAAGACTGAGATTATTACATAATTTTAAGTATTTGATGCTGACTTGATCATGTATGAAGTCAGATTTGTGCAAATTTTTCCTTGCTTATTAGTAATAATAGTTCTTGTCGTTTTTAAAAAGTCAGTTCTTGAACTTATTTTAATATTCTAGCATGTGTATTAGGAAAATCATACTTCTTATTCATTGCATTTTCTGGCACAGAGCAGGCTAAGAGTATCTAACTGTTAAGCTTTGACCCCTATCTTGTGGTCTATTCCCATTGAGAAGGCTGACTTTATCAATAGCAAGAAAAAAACCCTATTTAGTCCTTTCTTGTTTTTGAGAGGTTGATAAGCTCAGTTCCAGGGTCAGTGGAGCAGAAAAAAAGAAATCAAGTGCTTTCCATTGTTGTTGACTATTCACCTGTCAGAGTTGCCCCAAAGAGAAGAAAGATGAATTCTCCATCATAGCCCCAGATTCAGCAATCCTGTAATGTAAAATGTAATTCAGGCTAAGATTTAAATGCATCTATTGGCAAAGACATCTGTGCGGTGAGACCACGCCATAGGTCTTTACTGCTCCCCTAACTTCACTTTCTGAGGTACCACATTCTTGCCTCATCTTCAGGAAACTGAGCTATTTGCTAGAAGGCAGACTTCACATTTTTTGCAGCTCAACACTTGCTTGGGATCGGGGGGTTTCCTGTTAGTAGCTAGCGAACTCTGTGCCAGCTAGAAAATTGATAACTCAGAAAATAAGGTGGGTTGTCTTAAGCAAGAGTTCATTTCCTTTCTGGTTTTGCCTTTAGGAAGCAGGTGCCTGAGGAGTTTTGTTCTTAAAAGCAGAACTGTAAACTCACCTCAGCTGGTTATATGGGCTTGAGGACCAATTTTCTTAAAATATGTTTGGTCAGAATATTGAAAGAACTATACTATTAGCCTCCACTTAGGCCACTTCCTGCACGTGAACACATAAAACACATCTGATATGGGTTTCCTAGAGACAACATTGTCTCAATCATGTACAAGGGGAAAGAGTGGGAGAAGTTGATGTTATAGCTGGGTGCTATAGAATTGATGGCCAAGGATATTTCAACAGCTCAGGGACTGCAGACCATAGAGGGTGGAGTGAAGGCTGAACGTTTGACATTGCTCCCAACCCTGCAGTCCCATTTCTTGGCTCTCTACCATCCATTGGAAACAATTCACAACTCTTAAAGAACTCAGCAAATGTATCACTCTTCATGGCCTGGCCACAGGAAGAAAAAAAATGGAATAAAATAGGAAATAGTATATACAAGTTCACAAAGTTGTCTTTTGTTCTAATACATTTAGAATTTGTTACCTAAAGATGATTCAAGCCGTCCGGTTGCTTACTTGCTTCATCCTAGTTGTCATAGATGTAATAGTTTTTCATTAACATATTCCTTTTTCAGAGTTTAAAGCACTTAAATATAATATATACTGTATATCACTGAAGCCAGCTTGCACCAATTTATGAAAGATGATTATTAAGCTTTCAAGAATTCTGTGAGCTGGTTGCTAAACCGTTGGTAGCTTGAGATTGGTCATGGTGGGAGTATTTACACCACAGAAACTGGCAGGTGATGGTAAATTGGGTTTGTTTTTTTCAAAGAGCCAGTTCACTGACACACCACTGAGGGTCCGTACCAATTCTATTTAGTGTATAACCAGGAAGAAGTTATCAAAAATAGAGGCAAAAAAAAAAATACTCATCCAAATCAAAACACATGACTTCTTATAGATAGCTATGTTTCTCAATATGGCCCATGGGCCACCTGCATCAGAATGAATGACTTGGGGAGCTTGTTAAAAAGTGAAAATTCCTGAGTGCCACACCGGACTTGCAGAATCAGAATCTTGGAAGTTAGAGTTCAGGAATCTGTGCTTAATAGTTCACCCAAAGTGACTCTTCAGCATTCTGAGAATCACTGAGTTTGAGGGACAAGATTTAGCTGGAACATTAGATTAAACTCTTCTCATTCTATGAAAAATGATGTACAGATTTTTTTCCCAGGAGGATTGAATAACCCAGTATAAAAACATCGCCATCTTTCTTATATGCCCTCTCTGAAGCAGCCTACCTTACCTGCACACTGTTTACAAACAAAAGAGGAACGCTTGCCAATGCTCACTCACCTAAGGGAATATGGATCTTTCCCCACCCCATCCCCTCATGTGCACAAAACTTACAAAGATGATAAGTTTATTAAGAAAGTTTTGGAAACATAAAAAGTGTAAAGAAGATTAAAATCATGCATAATTCTACCATAATTCCATAACCACTATTAATATTTTATGATATTTTTACTATATTTTTTTGTTTGAAAACTTGGTATTCATACTGCATATACTTACTGTTTTCACAGAATTCCCATTATATTGTGAGCATTTCCCCATGTCATTAATGTTTTGAAATTATGTCATTTTGGTGACTAATATTCTGTGAGATCAGTATATCATAATTCATTTATCTTCTGTTGTCTTCAAATGTATAGTCTATTTCCATTTTTCACTGTTCCAAATAATACCTTGATGAGCATCCAAATACAAAAGTCCTTATAATTACCTCTTAAATCATATAATTTGAATGTCAATTCCTTGTAACTGTTTTACTCGAGGGTTAATCTAACCTCAACTCTAAATTTTAGGGTTATATCATTCCTCTCATTATTTGTCTTATGAGTTCCATATCTTGTTTTAATTTGCCTATGTATCTAACTCCAGATAGGGAATTGTTTTGGTGATATATATGAATATTTTATTCATAGCTATAGCTATGGAAAGGTCAAAAAAGCCACAACTGGTGGATTGAGTTATTAGATTAGATTGGAGGAATGCAGAGTCTAGAACAGATTCTTAGTTCTTCGGGGGGTGGGGGGAGGCATGGAGGATGGAAATTTGCTCCCCAAGGAGCATTTAGCTATATCTGGAGACATTTTTGTTTGTCAGAGCTTTGGAGGGGGTGTGGGGAGTGAGTTGCCACCACTGTGTACTGGGTAGAGGCCAGGGATATGGCTACACATCCTACAATGCATAAGACAGTCCCCGTCCTCAAACAATGAGTTATCCAACTCAAACTGTCAATGATGTGGAGACTGAAAATCCCTGTTCTAATCTATGGACTTCACAAAGAGTAGGGGTACTACCTCCTGGACATTAGAATTGTATTTTCTCATGATATCCTGTGGCCATTGCAGAGAGATATACACCAGATCTTGTAACCCTAGAAGGATTATTAGCTAATTGAGAAACTGTACGCAAAGATTGCTGATGAATATTCCATCAATATAGGCTTGCAAGAAAAAAGTTTTCCTCAAAAATTTATTTTTAACGCTGGCCTGCTGAGCACTGGCATCAGTGATGGTGCCCATTGATCAGAGTTTGAATTCCAAGAAGCTGCAGGGGTTGACAGTGTGTCTGATGACAGAATCATCTGGAACAATGGACTGAATCAAACATAAAGGAACTTAATAGGAATAAATGTAAAGTCTTGCTTTTAGGTCCCAGAAGGAACTGTACAAGCACAGGATGTGGAAGGTTTGACTTAATACCAAATATATGAAAAATTTGCCTGATGGTTTTAGTTGAGGGTAAGCTTAGCATGAGTCAACATGGGGATGTGCCTGCCAGAAACTTAATCCAGTCCTAGGCTACAGAAGTTCATGTACAAAAGTGAAGGAAGAAACAATAATTTCTATTTTATACTGCTCAGATCACACCTGAAATACCCTAAGCCTGTCTCACACACAGAAAATGGCAGCACTAAATCCATGTCTCCTGAAAAATATGGAAGGACCTGGGAATGCATAGCCTGCAGAGTTAGGACTTAGTTGATGTCACATGATTAAAGAACATTACGCAGAAGAGGAATTAGACGTATTTTATAGCATCCATTCGCTTTCCATTCTCTCTCTCTCCTTATTCATCCATTCATTTATTTTCTTGAAGATTCTAAAAAGGAATTATTTTAAGGGAGGTAGCCTTGGGCTTCCCTGGTGGCACAGTGGTTGAGAGTCCACCTGCCGATGCAGGGGACATGGGTTCGTGCCCCAGTCCGGGAAGATCCCACATGCCGCGGAGCGGCTGGGCCCGTGAGCCATGGCCGCTGGGCCTGCGCGTCCGGAGCCTGTACTTCGCAGCAGGAGAGGCCACAACAGTGAGAGGCCCGCGTACCGCCAAAAAAAAAAAAAAAAAAAGAGAGGTAGCCTTCAGCTTGATTGAGGGGAAAGCATCCTGACAAATTA